ATGCTAAGTACGGGTTAAATCTGATCCGAATTTAAGACGCGGTCTAGACCCTTAGCACGGGCTAACGAAGTCTGCGCGAACGCTTAGCCCAGGGCTAAGCGCCCTCTGCGGCAACCTTTGGGTGTGAAAAATATGCACATGATCAAATACGTCCAACTTTCTCATTCTAAAAGTTAACAGAACTGAAGTTTTCGAGGAATGTTGCATTGTCCCATGTTCGTATAACGACTCTATTCCACCAGTCATTACTCCGCGCTCGCTTCCACACTGATCGGGTCGCTGTAGTAGAGCTCTGTATTCTGTTACGCCCGTTGTATACTGTTTCTGTGCATCCAAATAAGTTTGGTTCGTCTTCTCTCGCGTTCCCGTGCACGTCGCTTCACCAAAGGTTACCGACTAATGGCACCCCTTAGCCCGTGCTAATGACTGGCCCTCCCTGTGCGTGGACGCAATTGGGTCTAGCCGAAATGCAAATATGCTAGATAAGCCTTAATCAGCTTAAATCTTAGCCCTTACTTTGTGTAACGTGAACACAACTTATATGTGAATACAGAGAAAACTAGAGACGTTATTGATTGTACGATTACAACTATCTTATATGGCGTATTTATCCCTATCCTGATCGTTTATAAGAACAACCACATGTGTCGATGTTGAAAAAAATACCTTATGTTATGTGTTCATCTCTCTCTCTCTCTCTCTGTCTGTATACGATGCACCGGCTAAGTTAAATAGCCACGTTGTTGTGTGTGTCTTCTTGAAAAGCCTCTTCGTGACTTCGTGGTTGGCGAGCACATTTAATGGAAATTGATAGCTTGTTCTAATTATAGAACATGGCCATATGTCGCGTGCTCGTACTCCACATTATCATCGCGGGATACGTATTTTCCCTGTTGATATACATTTAGAAAAAAAATGAGCAACGCTGTTCGAATGTTTATTTATTCATTTAAGATAGTATTTGGAATGTGAAGAAATTGTCGTGGGGAATCTTCAAAGTAGTACATGCTGACAATTCAGGAATACAAATATTGAGTAAATATTGGGTTTATGGCCAGACTGGGAAAGAGGGAGTGTCGGCGGACATGATCGTATTATTCATCAGCCAGTAAGTCGTAATTTGTAATTTCACGATGACGTTGGTTATGTTTCAGTTCATTTGCTGGCGGAGCGATTTTGACACGATTACGTCATTGCCAAGGTTATTCGTTACTAAAATGTTAATGTTTTGTTAATAAAATATATGTTGATATTCTTTACGATAATTATCACATGATCGATATTTTACAGTGATTTATATTTTTTTCACGTTTTCGAAAAAATGAATGGATACATTTATTTTGTTCAACGTACGATATTTTTATTGACGATTAATAAATGAGATTGATAGAAATTCAAAAAATGGGAATATCTGCTATCTGATAAATTAACTGTACATTGATAACCAATTATGCAGGAATTACGGGGTGTAAATCTCAATTTGAGTCTCTCTGCACTGGGACAGCGTACAACTTTAGGTTGTTAGGGTCTGTCTTCAATTTCATTGAAGTTTCTCTCATTAGTAGAAGAAACGGTTTTGTCACATGAGGGCGGCATTATGTACCGTTTTCTACACACTGTGAGTTTGCTGTTAATGAAGGCGCTCTTTACAATTTATTTAGAATCATGTCGCTCCGATACGAGCAACGAAGGAAGAGTACTGGTATCGTGCCGGGCCGTTGTTCGTTTCTCGCGTTCGATTTAAGCCAATTACTACGGGGCCTTATTAAAGACATGAATGGAACGACTATGAGGTTATTACGAGGATACCACAAAGTATGAACGAAGACACTACAGCTGGAGTGCGGCGTACTTTCTGAGTGCATACTTTGAGGTAAAAACCTTTTTATTATACTTTTTTTCCTTCCAAGGATACACCATGAGAATACCGAAATCCAAAATGTTTAGAACAGAATCAGCGAATTTCTTTGTGTGGAGTCCGGTCAAACCTTGGTGGCAGCCATGTTTGTTTTTATTATTAGAGGACGCTTACTAGTACGCGCGTAATCATTCCATATTTAGAATTCTCATTTCCTAATATGGTAGGATGGAAATACCCCGTAAATACGGCAAAATTACGACAGCTGTAACTAATGGCGTTACGGTGACAGATGTATAATAATACTTTTTATAACGAGATAGTATAAGAAGGTAGTTTTTAATCTTTTTCATAAAACGAAATTCTGTGTCACTTTATAACCAGGTTGGTAACATCTTTTTCTTTCCAAGTGCATTTTGTTCATTGGTGGCCCCCATAAGGCTCCATAAATCCCCAGAAAGGTTATGTGGGACGCGCCGTTGGACATTCACTATACAGTTTTTCTTTAAGGAACACAGTGTAGTTGCTGTTGTCCACGCCCGTTATGTGATATTGCAAGAGATGTTAGATGTGAGATTACGAAGTCACATAAAATACCCTTACTTCTACTCGATTACGTCATGATCATATTCAAAATTGTTATACAAGAGAATCGTTATGCGACATTGTATCACATTTTTCCTCGTTGTATCAAAGTGTGTCATAGTAAGCGTTTAGTAAATCCGTCGGCCTCGGTGAGGGCACAGTAACTCACTCCGCCACACAGGTAGGCCAAAACCTTTTGTATATTTATCAGTAATCAAATTGATTTATTTTCAAGGACCATTTCTAAACAATTTCTAATTCAAGAGGTGTCGTTAACCTGTTTTACCAAACGTGTTCGTTCATATCAGCTATGTTCGACTGTAAAGAAGAACAATATATACAAACAAAATATTCAGAAAGAAAAAAACACCTTGAGATAACTTTAAGGCAATTGCCAGCAGTTATTGACGCAGTGTTTATTCAAGTATAAAATATCGACCAAACGACGCATTACCATACCATATTACATCTTACAATAAAATGAACACTCTCAATTAAACACCATTCTATATTGATCTCATTGTTTAGGCAGACGATTGTGTTCAAGTTTATTTCTTTCTTTGCCTAGAAAATGAATATTTGTGTTTTTGACCATCGCGCCACAAAAAATCAATTAATTAATTTATTATTGAAAATTATTAGTTTTAAAATATGATAAAGAATTTGTTATCAGATATAACAAACTAACACCAACCTGAGAAATTGAAACTTCGAGTTGCTATTTGGATGTATATTCTGAGTGTATATCGCCCTCTGTCGGTGGAAAGATAATTGATGCCATAAACACCAGAGAAGACAATTTCTTTCGGATCAAAAGACTGCACAGACTGAAATCTCACCTTTGATGTCATGAACAGTTTACTTTATTGTCTGTCTTCTTTTTCTAATATTCAGAGGACAATACGCGTGTAAAACGCGTGTATTAGTAGTTTGAATACTGAACCATGGTCAGAGGGGTGTCACCATTTTTTACACGCGTATAAATTGCAAAATCTAAATGCGGAGTTTGAGACATGGACAATTAATTAGAAGAACGAGGTAATATCACATCACTAGAATGACCAGGTGCAAAGCTGAGCTTATCTGAATATGGCATTGTTATTAATTTAAACCGATGAGAGCGCACGCCACGGACCGGCGTCCTATCCGGAATGCTTTAGACATAAAAATATTAATAAAAACATATCTTCAACAATTTCAACTTTATTATCCCTCCGTCTTTTTTTAATTCAATGAACTGATACAAGTTTTGGCTGGAACGGAAATTAAGTAAACTTCTAGTATAAACGCCACAGGACACGTTTTTATTTTAGTGCAGGGGTGAAACCTAGGCATGCCACATGCTGTCTGTGATAGCATGCTTTGACGTCCACTCCATAACACGGTGGTTTCTCCTGCTTATTGCATGGGTTTGATTGATTTTGGCAAATCTGATAAAAACTCGTTGTTATCCATGCTCACATTTTTACGACCGCATTGGACGATGGGATACTAAGATAACACGGTGTTAGTACACCCACAGTACAGCTCGTATTAATTCTTTTCATATAATTCGTAACAGACTTTCAGGCATGATAATCTCAGTGGTATGATGGTAGAAGTGTAACGTGGCAATCCATACAAACACATTAAAGTACCCCCAAATGAATATCACATGCAGCCGACTCAAAATAGTATTACTCTGCCAAACTTACATAAATTCAGATTTAAAAAAAAGCACAATTTAGGCAAACTTTCTTTGTCACCTAATAATATTTTAGGATACTTCGACGTATGCTAACAGTGTTACATTCGTACGTGAAACGTGCATACAGTATTACAGTTCGAATTTTGATGATCATAGTCTGGTAGCATGGGATAAATGCAATGAAACAAGAAATATCTCAGGCTCAAACATGATATAAATTAATAAAAGATTAAATTTATTACCTTATTTAATAAAGACAGTTTTAAATACAAATAAAGGAATCTTTCAGAGATATTTTATACAATAACGTGAAAACAACCATTATACTAATTTCCACTATTATCTTAATTCACCAACCACATAGTCCCTCGAGTATTAAAATAATGTGGCAGTGATAGAAACATACATTACGCAACTCCTTGGCACTATTCATTGAATATCACCGCCATTTTTAAAATCGATTGATGTTTCGAAATGACGTCACTGGTCTAGTTCATCCCTCTCTTCCAATAGTTTCGGAGTCACATTCATAAACGCAGTATTTATCTGTTATGGTGTAACCGGCACTGTTTTTTTTAAGTAAGCAATATAATTGTGAGTAACTCAGATGACATCAAGTTCTTATAAAATATATATAAGAAGGGGGAATGTTTGACAAATATACTGTTAAAGCCACAAGAATGATCTGGTTCTTAACATTGAAAACAGATGACAGTCAGAAGTCAGTCCTTTTGATTAGTACAACATATAACTCTTGTATTTCCTCCAAATACTTGGAACAGTTATCAGCTGTTCCAAAAATAAACCACCAATTATTTATTTAGTAAATTAAGAGGGTACAACACCCTAGAAGTAATTCCGAACCTGGTAAACGGTACACGAATACAGCTTCACAAATGTGATTCATCGTGCAGTGCGCCACACAGCGACGTAATTGGACATGAAAATGACGATCTAGTGTTAGGCACCCTCTGTGTCCGTATTATCTTTCCTATATCACATTTATCCAACAGCACATTACCACGTGTATATTTATCAGATAACACATGGGCTCATTGTCCAGTTGAAATATTATTAAAAAAATTATATATGTTCCCAGCACCTTTATCAACAAACTTACAAACCCATTACATATATCACCTTACAATTACAATATAGTGTCACTTGTGCTTCTGAAATGTCAGTGTATTTGGAAATAGTGTTGGTCAAACTTGGCAGAAATAGTGAAACAAGTATTTGGGCTGTACAAAATAATTCTGTTGTGACGTAACACTGGGCAGAACATTTTTCCGTTGCCTCTGTCAGTGTCGATTTACGTCCAGTAATCATTAACGGTGTTACGTGTAATGTTCGTACAGTCTTTGTCTCAGTGTGTTATCAAATCAACCACTTTGAAAACGACGTCGTGGCACTCTACACGGATGTTGGCTGTGGCATCGCTGACGTGGAGTGGACGTTGACGGTGCTGATGGGAGGTCCGTGCTCGTCTGTAGTCATCCCGACCATTGACATGCTGGGTTTGAAATAGTGACCCATCGCCAGCATCATAGCGTCTTCGTAATCTTCCTCGCATAGTATTTTATTGTTTCGGAGATAGAATTTGTCACCAACACAGAACCTACAAAACAAATCGCAATACCTGAGTAGAGCTAATAAACTAATTTCCTTCAGGAAAACTGAATTGCTTCTAGGCACCGGTGTTGTTGTTGTTGTTGTTGTGTGTGTTTGTGTGTGTCAAGTTTGTGTAGCTTAGGTTTAGTAGGAGGAAGGTATTGTTCAATTTTTATTAATATTGGTATAATTGATTATATTAATAAATTAATTAATTTACATGGATCTAACAAAGTACCGTTTCATGAACACTGAATTTTAACATAAATTAAACACGTCATAATGGCGATAATCGGCAACTTCGTAGGATTGTGTGTGGTTTAATAGAAAATATCAGTGAGCTAATATCTCCTCCAACAAGTTGTAAACAAACTGTGTTTGAGAAATCGAACGTTTGATTATAAAGCATCTTACGGTACAATCATAATGTATGGAAACTACGACCGGTGGGATTCAGTGATGACAATAAACAAAACTACAAGACGTTTTGAACTGAAACAGCAGTATAGATAACATCTATATATTATTTTGTTAGGCTTATTTCGAAGCAGGCAATATAATTGTATTTGTTCCATGAAATGTATTTAAATTAAAAGTACGTGCCAGAAATTCGCAACGCATGCGCAGCGATTACTAGTTGACTATAACTAAGTTTCATCATGATGCTCAATTGAAAAATGCAATTTCGACCGTACTTAAGATAGGATTGCCCTTTATTACGCAACGTATCGGTATTAGAAACCCGTATTCATGAATTGTGTGGACGCAATCTGGCCAAAAAAGTGATAGAATATGTTGCTTAAATATATGAAATATATATGCCAATTGCTTACCTGTGGTTGCACTGTTGACATGCAAAACATTCAAGGTGGTATACATTGTCCCTTGCCCTCATTACCATTTCAAATGCAGGGATTACTTTGGCACACGCAGCACAGTAACCGGTTGTACCGAATAACCTGTAACATATTTTGAAAGACGTGTGAGGAACATTGCATAAAATGTGAAATGTCTTTAATTTGTCGAAACTATGTATGACACTGACTTCCGGTCACAATTACAAATATATATCACCCATGAAACAGCAGCTGACAATGTTCATAACAATGATTGAAATTCGGCAAATTATGGGTTCATTTTGGCCAGAAGTCTCTCAAATTCTCAAGATCAACGATGCAATTTGTGGGGGAGCTGCTGGGTTGAGTGGACGACCATCCCTCCCTTCTCCGACGGGATATCAATAAAAGAACAATATCCCCTCATCGAGGTTTATCTATCAGTCAGTTATCTGCTTATAGTTGGAATAATCGAAATATGCGAAACAATAAACAGGAGAAGCATTTTCGCTTTCAAACAAAATTCTAATTAATAATGACGATGATATGACGATAATGGGTGACAGTAGGTAATCGTGGATGTTATTTGTAATTCCGTTATATGGCTATTTATAACCCTGTAACCTAACAGTCAATCCAATCAGAAAGTAGCTTGTCTGTTGACTGGTTTCTTCAACAAATCAAAATAAATCTTATATAAATTCTTCGACTCAACTGTCAGAACTAGCTATGATGTTTGGATGTAGAAACGATATATCATTGTACCAATGACAAGATCAAAATAGGTTAGTCTATTAAACCTCATCTGTTGTACAAGTCAAGTAAACGCACTGTCAAGATGCAAAAGAAGGGTTCAGTGTCTGCGAGTTTGACATTTTAGTTTTGTTTGTTGAATAAAAGTGTTCAAGGGAGATTATAAAAGCACTGAGAATAATAACGTTAGACTAAAATATGGTGTTTATTTATTTATATTGCATATCATAATGAGTATAACATAATGACTTTAAAATGACACGTTCGGGCATTCTTTCATGATTTACGACAGGCCGAAAACTCAATACCATGACAGCCAGATTATAACTTCGATAAGGCAGTTAGGTTTTTCGCACTCTCGTAATCTGCGTTAGTATTAAAATTAATCTGTTAACAGTTTGTCTCGTTTTGTTAAAACGATGGACGTGCACGACTTAGACGGCACCATGTCACCAGCCCCATCTAAATCTATAACTCACCACACAATCCGACAATTTAAATTCACGGGTTTCGTTAATTATAAATCGCCTAGGCGATGTCATCAGTATCGTCAGACTAAACTTAAAATTCTCCTCGTCGGTACCCGATCATCGGGAATCATGAATGCTCACTCGGATATGTCGGTTGACTAAACCCATTTTCCCCAAAGGATGAAAGACATGCTTGCTAATTCTATTTTCTCGCATCCCCCGAGACTGCCCTCTATCGCTGGGGTAATGAATTGTGTACATAGTGTTACATTATTTAGTTATTTTAGCGACTGCCCCTATTATTGACGATCGTCTGTTTGATCAATTATGATGGCGGATTTTACAGGCCCATGAACAAATGGTGCGAACGAAATAGAATTTATTCTGGCTGAGAGCGACGGTTTGGAGAGGTTGAATGTCCTGTGGGAGCAATGATAATCATGGTGATGGATGGAGTGATAGATACCGAAAGAGTTTATTTCTCAAATGTTTGCTTCTTTTCCGTCCCATACTGATCTACGACGCCCAAATATTCCAGGTTTCGTACGCATGATACACACCACCAGGAGTTAAAACGGTGGGAAAAAAATTCGACCTCACCCGGTATGTATATACAGAAAATATGGAATTACGTCATGACAAGCTGCGACTTTTTTGAACAGTAGTATTTTTTTATCGTGAATCATGATGAAAAACCTCACTGCTTCGAATAGTGTGTTCGGTTTATATATTTCAACATTTCAAGTAATTTCATAGATACTTTTGTACAGCACTGTTAAACTCAAAATATATAACCGTTTATTAAAGTTTTAGTCTTGTGATGGTGACGGCTAACACAGTGACTGCAGACTGACTGAGCTATTTTCTGAACGTAAAATACAAAAAGTTTCGTCCTGTACATTTTTTCTCCTTATATCACAAAAACGTCTATTAAAAACCAAACAGATCACGCGCAAAATCATATACCGTCGTTCCCAAAGGACGACATCAACAAACACGATTAGCCTTCAAGCGTATTCATCATAGATGCGATTGGCGGTTTTCCGCTGTCCCCGTTTCGCTGTCTGTACTCGCACGCCTCGGTGCGCTCTTTGTTCCGCCGAAACCATAGATGCACACCAAGTTTAAACTTTTGAATTCTGGTTGTCGGTTTCGATCCATTGACTAGCGATGATGTGCAAAATAAACAGCACTTCCGATGTATGACGACAGGAAGACCACTGTCAATAATTCACGCCATCATGTCTTCCGGATGACGGATTGCAGTCGACAGTTGGTGCTACAAATATTGATGTAATATGTGTTGATAGCCAAATGTACACGGACCGCTACTCAAGAATATACTCTATATGACGCTGCAAATATGCACCTCACTGATTGTTTCAGCGGGCCGTGATGAGTCTTTTCTGATTCCATCATGATCTTAATTCGAGCAAAATGTTTGAACCAAAAAACATTCGATAGTGCAGTGATAACGAATTCTGAGGTCATTTCGGAATTCGGCAAGACTCAAACTTAAACATAGTACTGTTTCACTCAGAAATAAATAAAACGATACTTGTTATAATTTGAATATGTGTTATGTAGGTTTCTCTGCCTGCTCAATATTCGGTGCGTATTTGTCGTTAACTCATTTTACAGTAATAACTATCTTTCAGGTACAGTTTGACTAAAACTTACTTGAGTTGGGTTTTGACTGCTACTCATTTGTGCTATGAAAATTTTTAACTCGCTAACTTCAGGGGACATTGTAATATGAACACTAAAAATGTTTTTAAGTGTATTTTTATTTATTTATTTATTTATTTGAATAATTGCATGTGTTTAGCCAAATCAAACATCTGAATATGAGTATTTCTGTTTCTTATATTTTTCTACGTATACGAAAACAACTATTTTTTGTATATTGTATGAGCCTTTGAATCTAGTATCTGACATGTCATCGATACAGGAAGCTGGTAATGCCAATTATCAAACAGTTGAGTTCATTTCATTGAACCCGGAATAGGTTTGATTTTAAATAGCTCCCACAAACCCCGGTTCTCATACTTTTTTTTTATATAGTCCTCACTTGGGGTTGCCCCCACAGTCGGCCAGGGTATTTGATATCTTGTATAGAAACATAATGAACGTAATGATCATTAAACATGTAATTTATGCATCATATCAGAATAATTAATGTTGCTTGACTGTTCACAACGATCATTCTACATTTTGCCCGACCGAACGTATTACTTAAACTAGTCAACAAACTTCCAAAATGACGTCGGCATTAGCGCCAAATATATTAAAACGTGACTTTAAAAAGGAAGAAAGAGCATAACTTAAAAAAACGTATCGTATTAATATTTTAAAATTAATCAGTGGATCATTAAACGCTTCAATATTTCTAATGATGTCGCGTAGCCTATATTAATAGTCATATACGAACGATGGGACACTAAGCGGAACGTTGTGAGATTAAAGATAAATGGATTAAAACTAGATGTCATGGAATGTATTCTAGGCTGATCAGTAATCTACATTTTCTCCCGGGACACAGATTGTTCTCCCCCGTGAAGGCAGCTTCCAAGAGCAAATTAGGAGTGACATTCGTGAATTTTATATCTGTTTAATTTGTTGGAGTATACTTGAGTCTCGGATTCCCTCCTTCTCACCTGAGGTAATCTCTTTTACACAGCATAAGATTTGCTTTGATGTAGAGCGTCGATCCTACTTCGCCTAATCTGCAATCACAGCAAGCACACTTCAGACAGTCTTCGTGCCAATACTGTTCTAATGCCTTCAACAAATAACGGTCTTTAATTTTCTTTTTGCAGCCCGCACAGTTTCGTTTCTCTAGCGGAGCGTCTAACACTTCAACTTTATCTGTGGGATTTTAAAAAGAAAAAGTTAGTTTGGCTTCCGTCAGGCACCATACCTTCTTTGTGACACGCAGCTGAAATGAAAACAAGTCAATTGTATTAATCACAAATATAATAACGTAACATGTCATTGTAACTGACTGAAAGCAGCTACAATAGAAGTCAGTGATCAAAAAATTTATTTGCATTTTTTGATAATTGTTTGTAGTTCAATTGTGATTGACGCGTACACTGTTTTGTTAATGTTAATATTACTATTACGTTATTGCGTTTCCTTCCTTCCTTCCTTCCTTCCTTCCTTCCTTCCTTCCTTCCTTCCTTCCTTCCTTCCTTCCTTCCTTCCTTCATTCATTCATTCATTCTTTCATTCATTCGAGTCATCGACTCATTCATTTAACTATTTAGTATAGTTTTGTATGACAAATTATACACTGAATGCACTGTCTCTTCTAACGTTATTTTATATGCACCTTTCTGTCAAGTTTAAGTGCAAGCGATCCAGCTTCTCTAGAGCTTCTAGATCAACTGAGGGCGCACTAATATTATAGTAAATACAAAATAAGCAATCACGGGAGGCGTTGGTGATCGAGTGTCGGGCATTTGTTTTTAATGAACCAGTCGTGGATATTCCCTGGCATCTAGCAGCAACCTTGATATGTCCATTAAAGTTATCACAGGTATTTTCCGGTAAATCTCTGTTCACTCTTAGTTCGCCCATACTTATTGAATGGTGCACACCCTTTCTGTATATGATCAGTTGTCGAGCGTGGAATGTATTAGAACAACTTTTGTATATTTCCGCCTTGACTGGACTCCCCATTACATTATAAAACACACACACCAATGTCACCCAAGATGTATTTTAGACCGCTGGGTCTGTGGTAACCATCATTTGCCGTAAAGTGGATGTTGCTGACGGCATTGCCGTTGAATCGTTGATATATCATGATATAACGCCTATCTACTATTAAAGTGATTCCCGCAATTTTAGACGCTCGGTGCCAACTTAATTTAAGCATATGCCTCTAAAGTTAATAGCATGAGATTACGCCATATTCTCCACCAATGTGAAATAAATTCCCTTCTCCCGAACATTCGGCAGTATAGGTCTAACGAAAAGACTGTTTAGAAGACCTTTCTAAATTTCTTCTTATTTATGTTTAACTGTTTTAATGCCGTTATTTTATTACTGTATTAATTACCACATATACACTAAATTGCAATCTAGGTGTAATTCAGACGACCCCAAGGACAATGTCTCGATTCATCCAGATTGGAATCGTCCACAGAAGATGACTATCGACCTACTTTCGCAGTGGCGGAGGAGTCCCTCTGGCCAGGCAGCGGAGAAAGTCATAGACAGCCGTAATGAAACCTACATTGATGTCTCCGCGCACCTGATTCTCTCGTGTTTTAATTGATCTATTGTAGTTCTTGTTTTAATTAAAATATTAATTAGAAGGCGGGAACAGGGAATTGCTGAAACAGTTTAATTAATTTTACTGCCTTGAAACTGAGTGTTTTGAAGCACGGATGTCGCAAATCGTAGCTGTGTTCATATATCATTTTGGGTGGGCGTTCTACTCGGGGTTTTCGCTGGTAAAAAAAACAGAAGGCCATTTAATTAAATAGTGGGACCGGGTGACGTAAACTAATGAATAAATGTACCAATGCGGAAGAATGAAATTACGACACTTTCATAATTTTCCACATGACCTGTGGGCGCCAACAACTTTGAAATATTAATAACACCACCGGGTTATTTGCTCGTGGTGTATTAAACTATCGAAATATGACTGGGTCGTTAAACATATTCACACACGTTGTACAGAGGATGGACGGCAATGACCCCCGACTTCATAAATTTGGAGTTTATTTCCAAAATATTTCAGTATAATATTTACGTTACATTTTACACTGTTTTTAATTACATACTCATATATTTAAAAAAAGTTTGACCACGATGCCGTGACGTTAGAATTGCGTCTCAAGGGTTATATGGACAAATTAGACCCGTATTTGTTTGACCCAAGCTCAGGCGTCTCCCGCTGACGTTTTAGATACTGCAAACATGCAGTAGACTAAGGACGGCGGTGTGCTCGGGTGGGTGTACATTTGGGAAACAAAGCTATGCACAGAACATTACATGTAAAAAATTCCTGCAGCTGGATTTAAATATATATAATCCGTATAATCGCTTGATAGAGAAAAGTAAAATATTTATAGCAACATTATCCTGGAAAATTAATAGATCAAAAACTAAGTGAAAGAAAAAATATTAATTTGCACAGTTTTTCTACCATTTCTACCATAACTAACCGCTTAACAAGCACAACAGAACGGTTACAGTGAAACGTTGTGTCACAATGGCGTTGACATTACGTTTACGCTAGCTACTCAACTTCTTCAGGTGAATCAATATCGACACAGTGAAAAATGTATGCCACTTTCATGATTTCAATTTCTTGAACCACGGTTGATGTGTAGTTGAGAGCCTCCAAAAAAACAACGTCAAACTGTGGAATTATTATCATTCAATCAATTACCCCAACTTGCAGAATATCATTTCAATCATGCCAATAGCATAATTTCAGAGGGTTAACTAACGATTTATTCAAAGAGTAGGTATGTAAACAGAGTAGTAGGTGAAAAGGCGCAGACTGTCTGAACATAGCATAAACCAGTATATGATATGATGAATGTCACTATATCCCGGACAAAAGTGGTATTAGGACAATCCTAGATGGTAACATATTTCGACTCTGCAAATTGGGAATTCAAAGACTATTGTACTAATTAATGTTACGTCATTATGTACACTGGCTCGTACTAGGAAGTCGTCGGAAAATGAAACGTGGATCACGTATCATGAACAGCTGGTCAATAAGAATACATCTCTTGATTTTGGCACATGTATAATTTGAAAGATTGTCGGTTTTATCGTGGGTTATATATTTGAATATTTGTATGCGTTATTGTGCCTCTTATTCTTCCGTTACATGCTACTGCCTAAATACCCAATAAAGGGTTAGGGTCGTCTTACGTCAGAAAATACGCACGAAACATATGAACATATGACATTACATAATAGATGTAAGGCATTGATTTCTGAAATACTGAGAACGACTATGGATGAAGGTAATCCAGTCAAATTTGTAATTACTACTGAAGGCCCAGCCAAAATTTATTCTAAAGATCCATCTCGGCGTACTTCATTCATGGCAAAAAAAACAAACAAAAAAAACAAAAAAAACACTGAATGGCAGTTCCGGCTATGTTACTTAAATGTGGTTGACTATTTTGACCCTGAAGAAAAAATATCGCTTCGTTTTGTCCGAGAGGAATGTTTCGCGGCATTCGATCACTGACATATTGAAAACAACGACACTTATAGACACTTTTATCGCTAACGCATGATACTCTTTTGTTTTCAAGCTTCGTCAGGGAACGACAGAGCAAAACAAAACTGTGAGTGGAAACCCTCGGGTGTTTTTACCGCCTACCCTGTCAGCTCATATTTCTTCTATACAATCTGTATTGTGCTAGTGTTACACTAATTTTTGTGTACGCAGTATTCGCAGTGCATACAACTAGGATATATTGCTGTGGTCTCTTTCTTCCGCAAGATGTGTTGGTGTGCGCGGTACGAGTGCATCATTTGCCCTGTCGACGTCCAAGTGCAATAGTAGTGCGAAATCCGCACATTCTGTTAATATTTCGGTAACAAAACAGTCAAATTATCTCGAATATCATGCCACGCACAATGTATCCACGCATTGGAGCAACATTGTGCTAGTATTGCATACCACCGGCTCAGACTGTCGTGGCAATAGTCAGCATGGAAACCAGGAGAAACAATTACCCGGACTGAGTTATGCCGAGATTCGATTAACGATGAAAATAATTTACATTTTTTTCACACGGTATTAAAATAAAATAGTTCCCCCTAGGCACTATTTATTTTGCTGTTTCGCCGTAAAATAAAAGTATTTAATCACGTCGATCGGATGGCCAGCACAAGTACCAGCTTGTTGCCTTGAACATATTGATTTTTGAAAATAGAAGTAAGCGGGTGTATTATATATACATATTTACACACTCCAGAATTTTACACAAGGCATGTGCTAATCAATCAACAAAATAACCGTTTTCAACAATTCAACAAATATTTTAATGTTTCGGGTTGAAATTAATAAAACAAGATTTACACTGGGGTTTGTTAAATAGTGCGCATGACAGTGCTTACCCTTATATTATGCTCATAGCTATTAAAACTAAAATAGAATCGTTAGTTGTGTGACAGGCATTTCGCTGAGAGTAGTTTTTCAGATGTGTCACTGATGAATGTATACACCGTTCCTCCCTTGTAGAGAGACTATGATATAAGTGAGGATATTGTCTCACACGAGTTGCGTAGATTTTTTTAATGGATTCGTTGTGAGAATCAAAAAGTTTCAGAAAATTACCAAGTGATATGATCATGGTAGTGTTTACGGGCGTACTCACGGTGGTTGACTGGGAGGTGAACAAAGGTCACGCAGGCACAACTCATCCGATGGCATTGTTGTTATTAACTAGCGTTTGTATATTTGCAGAAAGCAAATTTAGCGATACCGTGATAAGCTGAACACTGTGTGCTGTTTATACGTGGCTAGCTCGTATACCAGTGTATCAATCAGATGAAATATAATATGCATCCATAGACACCCGTACCGATCAGAGAAGTCGACAATGCGTAGTAAACACGCGAACGGAAAGGAAAAAAAAATGCCATAGAAAAACTTACTGCTTGTTAAAGAGGTGTCCGATTCAATGATTATAGACGACATGTTGTTCATGTAGTGTTGTTGTATGAGGATACAGTCTGACGCGAGCTGTCGATGGCGCAACCAGCAAGTCGGGGCCACGTCAGTCACTGAAGCAGTGTGTACATCGGTCTGTGTCAGCACTGAAACATACACTCGTGTATCCGGGCTCCTACACAATACGTCACGCCGTAGCTAG